TTTCGTTTCGTACTAATTACTTACGTATACTCTACTACTACCTCCTAACTACCAAAACCGAAACTAAGATACTACAAACGAAAGAAGTACTCTCTCTCTCTCTCTCTCTCTCTCTCTCTCTCTCTCTCTCACACACACACACACACACACACACACACACACACACACTTAGAGGAGACTGCCGCTAGGACATCTAGCCATTTCACATTATCTAAAGCACTTAACTTTTTTGGTTATGGGAAACAAGGTAGAGAAACCGCAATATAGGGAAGAATCATACGACATAGTCAAGAGATGTGAATGTGAGGCCAGGTGGCACACTTGATTACGGACTTTAGTGAGACTAGCTGATTATCATTCGGTTAATGAGTCACAATGTAGATGAGAGTTGTTGATGCGCCTCTGGGATGGGTGCTTCTCTCCCTTGGCAGGTGTAGTGACTATTGTGGGCCCCACATCCATTAGAACCCTGCAATAATTATTGTAGGCCTCATGCTGATTATGGAAACTTGCACGTGATGATGATGTGTATAATATCCTACCATAATGAGTTATTTTCCTACGGTAACAGTTGTCATATTTGAAAGATTTTCTTGCTGAAACAATTACTACATTTAGGTGATTTTCTTGCTGCAACATTCATACATAATGGTTGTAACTCCTATGCATATTGACCTACCTGTATTATAACTCCCATAAGGATCTATCTATATATAGGGCACATTGCACCATGATTTGTATAGAGTGAAAAAGACATCCATATTTACTTTATCTTGTGCTTGAATATTATGTTTTCACTCCTCTCTCCATCTTAACATGGTATCAAAGCAGAGCTTGAAACCCTAAGATAGCCATTACATCTAGTGACCCTAAAATCATGTTTTTTCTTCTTTCTTACGCGGGGCTTGAAGCTGTGGTGCATTAGCAACCTCGTATTTCCAACAAGATTATCTCGCTTTCCTTTACCAATGAGTCAGTTTTAATCCCAAACTCCTTTCATTTTCAACAACCTCATATTTCCAGCAACCTCACATTTTCAGCAAGATCGTCTCACTTTTCTTTTACCAATAAGTAAGGTTTATCCTAAACTCTTTCCATTTCCAGCAAAAACCCTAGATTCATTTTACCCACACAAAAATCACAAATATATTATATACCTTTATTGTTCAAAGAAATCAGAAAAAGGGGACCTTTGCAAACTATGAAACTAAGGAATTCGTACGTCAAAAAAAAAAAAACTTCGGTCTTTGAGTTTTAGAGAAGGAAAAAGTCTGAAATCAAGTACAATATTTCCTTGGGAACTAGTAAATATGACCACCAAGGATTAATGACCACTACAATTAATCTAGATAGGACAAACTACTTAGAATAGTCCCAATCTACCAAAAAAGTTCATAAGAAGCCAAGAACATCAAGTTATATCACAAGAAAAGCAAGAAAAGTGAAAGACCCTCCCACAAATGATCCATCCATGATGAATGAGAAAGTGAGAACTTGACAATAATGGCATGGCTCCTTCATTCCATGCAGCCAAATATCAGCAAGGGGCTACTGTTTCTTAAGACTACAAAAGATACATGGGAGGCAGTAGCCAAGGCATACTCGCAACTAGAAGATCTTGCTAGAATTTACGAATTTCATCATGAAGTAGCAAATTTGTAGCAAGGAGAAATGATTGTGGAAGAGTACTTTGGGATACTAAAGCATAAGTGGAAAGACCTAGACCACTATCAGCTTATTAATCCCACCGTTGATGACATTAAAAAACAGGCCAAGCAACTGAGGATCTTTGAATTCTTAGTAGGCCTACATCCTAAATTCGAACTTCAAAGAATAAAATTTCTAGGAAAGAAATTTTATGTAAGGGAGGAGGCCAGTAGAAAGGCTATTGCAAAAGGACAAAACTCAAGCATCCATCCCGAACGATCAGCCTTTGCAACAAGCTTTAAGCAAGGAAAAGTCCAAACAAGTGGATCAAATTCGTGCCCCACTGTCTCCCGTCAAAAAGGAGAAACTCAAATGCTCCCATTCTGGGAAGAGAAGACACAACCGAGAGAATGCAAGTGCCCATACTATATCAAATGGAGGGGAGGAGACCTCAGCCACACAATCCAATGTATCTGATCTAAGAGATTCGGTCATCAAAGATTACAACACCAGTTGACTGCCCAAAGGCTTCACCCAGCTTTAAGACACCAGTAAAACAACCAAGTACATATGCAACTGCAAACCGTGCCACCAACTCCACCTCTTCTAAATCCTATATCATTGATTTAGGCGCTACTGATCATCTAATTGGTAAGAGAGTTGGTTTCTTGTTTTTTCCTCCTGCTTCTATGAAATTAAACTTGCTGATAGATCAATGAACATTGCCTTTGGAAGTGGAACATATAAACTTTTATCATCCTTGCCCTTATCCTCTACAATACATGTGCCTTCTTTTCCTTCTAATCTTCTTTTTGAGCTGCCTAACAAAACAATTAAACGACAGCGTCATACTCTATCCCTCACATTGTGGTTTCAAGACTTGAAATGAGCACGGTGATTGGTGGTGCTCATGAAGATAATGGGTTGTATCTGTTCAACACGAGATGCACTTATACTGCTCTCAAGTCTAGATCTAGAAGTCATGAGCAAGTCCTCTAGTGGTACACCTGCTTAGGCCACATGCCTCTAAAATCTTTAAAATTATTGTTTCTAGATAAGTTTGTTTCTTTGAATATTCCTCAGTTACAATGTGAGACTCGTCAATTGTCTAAACATTGTAGAATTTCTTTTTCATCTAGTGAAAATAAAAGTTCCAAGCCATTCCATCCTATTCATTATGATGTTTGGGGCCAAATTCAATAATTTATGTATTTGGATATTGGTATTTTATCTTATTCATCGATGACTACTCTTATTATACTTGCATTTATCTTATGAAAAGTAGAGCTGATATAGTCAAAATACTTCATAAAATGATTCAGACGAAATAAAAATTTTCCGTTTTGATAATGCACAAGAGTATCTATACAATAGGTTAAAAATTTATTTTCTTGAACATAGTATAGAAACTCAAACATCATATTCCTATAAACCAAAATAGAATGGTGCGGCAAAATGGAAAAATAGATACTTCTTAAAAGTGGTGAGAGGCATCTTAATAGGAATGAAGGTTCCTAAGATACATTAGGATGAAGCAATGCTTACTGCTGCCTCTATGGTCAATAGAATGCCTACACTTGTTCTCCATGGTGCTTATCCTTTCAAACTTCTCCACCATGCACCTCCTTTGTTTTCTCTTCCACCGAAAACCTTTGGTTGTGTCTGCTTCGTGCATGCCCTAATGTCGACAAGGAATAAACTAGGACCTCAATCCATGAGATGTATGTTCCCAAGACACTCAAACTCCCGGAAAGGATGTGTTACTGCCCAGAAACTAAAAGGAAATATGTCTCAAAGGATGTTACCTTCTTTGAGAATATGCTTATTTTTCTTCTCAAAGAGATTCGATATCCAATACACCACCGACAATCCTAATCCTCTCCTAATGATCACGAATAGATTCAGTAATCCACTCAAGGAACAGGTGGAATTTACTGAGAAAAAGTTGAATGTGTACAAAAGAACAAGGGAAAGTCCAATAAAATGATTAACCCCAACTCAATGACTCGTCAGGTACTTCTTCTCCTTCTACCTGTATGCCTTCTCAACTCAATTTACCAATTGCTGTAAGTAAAGAAAAAAGGACTTGTACTTCTCATCTAATCAATATGTTTGTTTCTTAGGCTTCATTTTCACCTTCCTTTTGAGCATAACTTTGCTCTACTTCCTCTATTCCTAGTCCCACCAAATTGTAGATGCACTGGCTCATCCACAATGGAAAGCAATCGTGATTGAAGAAATGATTGCCTTAGAGAAGCATCGAACATGGGATATAATTGACAGTCCAAAATGACATGTGGTAAGATGCAGGTGGGTGCATACCCTAAAACACAAATTAGATGGTTTGATTGAGAGATACAAAGCTCATCTTGTGGCTAACAATTTTACATAGTTATACGGTCTTGACTATAAGGAGACTTTTTGCTTCGTA